CTCAGGAGTAGCAAACCTATGGCACTTTATGCAAGTTAGGCAGCCACGTTGCAGCCAAGGGGCTGACCTAGCCAGTGGTTTGAGATGGAAATGGTAGGTTAACATCACAGGTTGATGACTTGGAATATAGGTAGTGGGATGCATTTCTGCAGACTTCGGGAGATAAGGGGTCTCGTCTTGCTGCTAAACTCAGTTTTCTATGTCTGTGTAGGTTGTAATGGAGAAGGGAACTCTGTATGTTTTTGGAAATTACTGCACGAACAACACTGTTGTCTAATATATTATCCCCTCTGACGTTGATGACAGTAACACGGCAAAAAGAATTTTAAGAAGTCACTAGGGTAAAAGAAAAGAAAAAACTCTCAGTGTGGCTGTGAGGAAGAAACTTTCATGTTAATTTAAAGCTATAATTCTATTCCATTTTAAAACTGGTTTGCAATTTTTCTAATGAAAAATTTCACAAAGGATTAATTTACATTTTCTTTTCTCATTATTGTTTGGCAGTCAAGGTTGAAGCTAGATCACGCTATTCCAAAGACCCATTTGAGTTCAAGAACACAACTCACAATTCTCGGCTTGTGACCAAGCCAGGTGAAAGAATCCTGGAACCCATCCCAGTTTTTGATAACTGCCCTGCACCCCTCGATGCTCTACCTTAACATGCTGAGCTCAGTTGAAGAAGGCAGATGCACTACTGTGGATTTCAGCATGCATTTAGCTTGTAATGGGCAGCAAAATACCAAAGAGAAAAACCGTAAAGAACAATAAATAATAATTAAAACTACCATACTCGCAAACTAGCAGCTTGCTCAAGACTTCAGTCGGAAGCCCTGTTAGCTAGATGCCTTTTACGTTCAAGCCACTTTGCATGCCTCTGACTCTGAGTGATTCCAGTGTGAATATGACATTACTAATGACCTGCTAAGTGTGTGCAGATGTGAGTTTCTCCAGATGTGGTGATTAATAACGTAATGGAGATAGCCAGTCAACTCATGTTTATGGGTCGTTTGCCTTTTATTACGTTTCTGAGTTTATTTGCTTTGAACTATTTCTTAACTCCAGCCAACAAACTCACCTTTAAGTCTCAAAGGGCATCATCCCGCTAAACCCTGTTGAGGAAACAGGGAAAAAAGAATGTGCCCCAGGCTGGAGCTGAGCAAGGAGTTCATCCTGTGTCAGGGCAATGGATGATTTGGGGAAGCTGAAAGTTGAAATTATTGCCCATTTTGCTCAAAGGGCCCACAAAGAGTTGTTGGTGAACCTTGGTACACTGTTCGCAAGCTGGCTAGGCCAGTAAAGAAAAGTTTTGTGTTTTATTTTTTTAACTCAGTAAAATATATGGTCATCTTGAAGTAAGCACCGAGTTCTGGCTGGTGTTTCTGGAAGACGTTGCCTTGCTTTTGCTCGAAAACAGAATGATGATGAAAAGTCAAGTAAAATGTCATTACAGATGTTCGACTCTGCATTAAGGCTGTTGGAATTACCACCACATCTTAAATCAATTCCCAGAACATTGTCTGGAGGTTATGTCATCGAAATAACGAATCCTCTTTAGTCAAGTAGAAGCAAACATGTTAAAACGTCGTTGTAACTTTAAATTAAACTCTAGCGCCAACCAAGGGATCTGAAGCCTCATTAGACTTGCCTGACATTTTTCTAGTGCTGAGTCTTCCCAAACTGTAAAACTGTTCCATTCAGTGCCTATTAGACAAGTGAGCACTGGGAAGTTACAATAGCACATTAAGTGTTATACTTAGGGATGTGCAAAAACAAGCCCTTGAATTTTATGAGTACTTGGAGACTGGATGGGGTTCAGCCCCTATAAAATTCTACATTGGATTCCTGAACTTGTTTGTGTTTTAAAGAAGCTGGTAAGTCAGGCTCCTTTAGCAGATTGTATTTTCCTGAGGTTTCCACAGCGTGATGTGAGTGAGGATGCTAGAGACAGAGATGCACTGTAATTATCCAAAAAGCAGGCAGAACATGAACCCGTGAATGTGCGTCAGCATTGGGGGCTTGCCCATTCCTTCAATACATTTCTCTTAGCTGACAGGATGTGAATTTAAGTCTCCCTTTTAATTCAATTTTTATTCCTCTCATGCAGTCACAGAAGCCATAAAGTGAAAATTATACTTTATAGCTTAACTAAAAGTTTTTCTAGATTTGCTTCCTTTAAATATGCTGAAATTGATAGAATCTATATAGAGGGTAATAATTAAATATGGTTTATATCCTACTTATGGGAAAGAAGTTATCACTGCTTCTCTTGTGGGACCCAAGCCATACGTCACAGGCTCCACTCCACAGCATCCATATTTCTAAGCGGGAGACATTCTCCCCATCTCTTCAGGGAACAGATCTGCATCTCCAGGCTGAGAGTGCAGGAGGAAATCTTTGAACACGAGTTTCATTTCAGAGAACAAATCCCAGTTTAAATGCACTATGATTGTGATGGATGATCTTTCTGACTTGCAATGAAAATAAATAGTTTCCTTGCATAGAAGGAGGCATACCTTTAGCACCAGAACAAGGTGTCCCCCAGGACCTGGCTAACAGGTATTAACTTGAAAGTCTTCCATCTGAACATCACTGCAGGTAAACAGACGGCAACACGGTGCAAGGATATTGGGCTTTTAACCAAAGAGGGTTATTTATTGTGGACCCAGTGCAAATGGGAAAACAAGTTAAGCAAAAGAATCCAGTGAAAGTACCAGTGAGTGTGGCTTTTTTTCAGGTCCTAATTAATATAGACACAACCATGGCAACATCTGGCAACCCTGAATAAATATAAAGTTAGCCATAGGAGACTAGGTAAAAGACCCTTCTGGATATTTCATTCTAACCATTAAAAAGTTTCTGTGATGGAGAAGAAAAGAACTTTCACCCCCACTACACACACTCCCACAGACATGCCATTTAGTCCGGCATGCGACTCGGCCAATCTAGGTCACCCTGAACATGTGAGAACGGCAAGTGCTGCACATTAGAGTGGCCTTGTGACATGGGGGCATCAGTGCGAGATTTTCTACCCCATCTGAAGATGACAAATGTGCCCGAGTTACTCTCTCACACACACACATGCTCCTTCACTCTCAGCCTCACTGCCTCTCTACCCCGTTATTGCCTGGTCCCCTGTCCTGTGGAAGGAAGATGAATTCGGGTCAAGCTCAGAGTGCCTGTTTGCTTGCTGAGAGATGCATATCAGCTCTAAGTGACTTTTTTCAATACCATTTATGTGGCTTGTATTTATTTCCTTTAATCTTTTAAGTGCTGTTTAGTTTCAGTGTGATCTGCTGTGGATCCTCATTTCTGATAAGATGCACTATCCTCCCAGACACATAGTTCTGCCTGGAGCCCTGAGTGGCTGACACAGTCACAGCCTGAGCGTGGGCCTCTGGAGGAGGCCAGGTGCCGGTGGTAGGGTTAGTGGGCTCTGGGCATTTACAGGTGCTTTCTTGCCTTCATTCTTTCTGGAACAGCTCTTACCTTGAACCACATTCTTGTTCCCTTTCCCTGTGTCAGCCCGAATTTAAGCAACCTCACACTGACAGTAGATTGGCGGGAGTGGGGGTTGCTAAGTGTGAGACTTTGACACAGGTGCAGAGAGTTCTTGGGTTACCATAATCCCTTTGGAACCATGTATCATAGCATTCTAAATTTATTCAGGGTTTTCAGGGAAGCACCATGTAATGCGTGTGCTGATATGAGTCTTTTGGATGATATCAAGTAGCTGAGATGACATTTTCTCCCCAACCTAAGACTCGTACACCATTAACATAAATGTCAAGCATCTTTTGATGTCGTCACTGCTAATATTTTTCTTCTTAACCTTAAAGGTAACTTCTGTGCATTCTGGGTTTCAGTGGTGCTTCCTCCCAGTGTGTGTTGCAGTCAACTATAAGAATCCGAGGATCCTATTTTTTCCTTTTTGACATTACAGCTTTAGCCTGCATTGTGGGGGTGGGGAGAGAAGGACTAGAATTTTGCCGCCGATGCCCTTGGGTGACAGGCTGGGTACGCATCTACTAATTATCAGGCAACTCTCTTAAAAGGAAGCATGATGCAGGCTAATACATCTACAAAGCTTATTAGTGGGTGTCTTGGGGCAAAGGCAGTGGAGTATGCTGAGTTGTGCGTGAGCGAAGCTTCACATTGCTTAGCGACCTGTTTAGTGTAGACATTGGAAAACAGCCTTTGGTTTCCAATCCCCTGTGCCGCCCCCTCTCCCTCCCCTCACCACCTCATCAGAGATACCATTCAGTGGCAGCCTCCTCCTTCCTTCGGGTGCTCTTCTCCTGCCAGGTTCTCCAACCTCACAGCCCGGTCCTCCTGTCCTACTAAGTTAAGAAAAGACCCCACGTGCCCGTGCCCAACCCTCCTTCTTTGAAGGTGGGGGGACAAGAGCCGAGTTGGGCCGGGGATTCTTGGGCCAGCATGCTTTGATGTTCCCAGTCCTGAGTGATTGAAACATTGGCTGTCAAGGCCTCAAGTCCTTGCCTCTCTCCCAGGCTCTTCGTCTGGTGCACAGGGATTAGGAATCAGCTAAGCTGATTCATTTGCTGAAGCAGCAGGCTGTCAGCTATCGTGCTGCTGTTTCAAATACAACTTTATTTCTGATCTTGACTATGAGAAAACCCTTTGGATTACCCACCCAAAAGAAGTAACCAAAATTATCTCTAAGAATAATGATTGCGTGTTCCCCTATAAATAGTTTCTGTATTCAGATAAATCACTTTCTTCTACGGCAGGGTGTTTACAAACTGTTGTAGTCTGTTTGAATTGCATGTTCAAACGCTGGAGTGTAGAGAGGTGATGCTTTCGCCTTTCCTAAGCCAGCTTCTCGGACTAACACATTTGGTCTTTGTCATTGGGTCCTAAAAGGCAGTCATGAGTTCCTAGTGAGTGACTGAGCCGTGAGTGTGTGTCCTTCGATATCTTGCCTGTAGTTTTCAGTCTGCCCTCAAACTGTTTGTAATCTCATGAGCTGCCTGTATTTCCAGTTGAAGATGAGCAGCCCTCAACGCTGTCACCAAAAAAAAAGCAACGGAACGGAGGCATGCGGAACTCCCCCAGCTCCTCGCCCAAGCTGATGAGGTAAGGAGGGGGGCTCGGCCAAGGGGGTTCCCCTCTTCTCTTCCCTTTCTCACCCTCCCCACCCTGCCCAGGCCCAGGGTCTCCCCTCTCTAGCAAGCGGGAGGCAGAGGGGTGGGGATGGGATCGTTAGATGGCTTCTTAAAGGCTGGAGTATTTATTCTGTCAGCTTGTCAGCAGTTAATGATAGAGCTGAAAAAATTCTGTCATGAAAAACAGTTTGAAAAGCTGTTTGAAAAATACATAGGCTTTAAAGTCTTAGCTGTCACCGTGTCCTGTCTGTGTGTAGTTCCTAAACAGCAGTGGCACTAATGATGGTGGCAGCCAATCAGAGGAACTCGTGTGGTTAGTTCGCCTCTGGCTGTTCTCTTTCTGCCGGAGTCCCTCCGAGGACTGTTGTCTGTACTTAAGGCCATATGTGAGATGTATCATCACAATCAAAAACGAACCTGAAGATTACCTTCCTTTTATCCTGTCCATTGAAATCAAATTTCTGTTAATTGATTTCGACTGATAGGAAAAAAATCTAATAATCTGTGGACCTGCCAAAGCAAAGTTCAAAAGTAATACAGATCTGCTCAGGCTAAAAGCAGTATTAATTATGGAATACGGGGCAGTCTCTCTCTCGCTCCTCCCTGCTCTTCCTCTCCCTCTCTCTCCTTCTCTCCCTCTTCCCCTCCTTCCCCTCTTTTTATCTTGACTATGGCTTCCTCTAAGAAATAGAAAGTGAAACCAAGTTTCAGCAGAGTTCTGCCAGTTCCCCTCATTGGGCTTCTTTATCTTTCGTCTTCCCGTTTTTGTCCTTGATTCATCTGCCCATCCCAGCACCTCTTCCTTCCCACACCCTAAAACTCTCTGTCACCTCCGTGAAGGGCGGCCGGGCACTGCTCTCTCTGAAATGGTCGCTGCCGTGGAGACACCTGCCATCTTGATGTTACTTTTCCCTTTGCCTCTGCATTGACCACTCTTCTGCCTTTCGTTGTTGAAATACAACGATGGCGATTTTTCCCTCCGTCACCCCTCACCCCACACATGCACATCTTCCTGGCCGTCCTCAAGGTCCTTTCCGGGATGGAGATGGACAGTCTTTCCCCCTGCAGCTGAAAACACAGGTTCCTGGGGAAGACTCACCCAGCCCCACATCCATTTCCACTCTAACCGTCTCTTCCTGTTAAATGTTTCCTTAACAGTTCTCTGCCTTCCCCTTTGCTCAGTCTCGCTGGGGTCTCGCTGATTTACATGCTTGTTTACAGTTTACGAGGAGGAATAAAATGCGCCGACTGCCAAGTTTCTCATTCTCATGAAGCCAGTTGTCATGCCAGCGTGCATTTCCTATTTACTCACCTTTAGGTAATCGCCTTATCTAATGCTAATAGTTTTACCCATTTAAAGTAGAGAAAAGCATTTTCTTCTGCCTAAATTTAGAGGAGCAACTAAATAAATAAAGAGAAGTCTGAAAAATCTGAAACCTTTGGAGCCAAATTCCCTGTCCCTGTTTGCTATGTAAAGTATGGCTCATTTCTTTGATCTTGAGTAATAATAATTCTGAGGAGTTACACTGTTTTCATATGCTTCAAAGCTGTGTCAAAGTTTTGCTGCTTAAGGGTACTTCTTTATTCTGTTGGCTCTTGGGTACCAAGATGACAGTTCTTCTGTACGTGGTGGAAGCTTTTTTAAGTCGTAGCCTTCAGCAAAACATCAAATTACCAAATCCAGGGTAACATACTTCTACACAAATGCCTTTCCTGTAGATATATTATACCATATATATTAAATACTTTAGTGTTACACGCTACATTTTATGTGCAATAGAAAGTGATGGTTTGAGGTAGCCTTGAGGGGACTTTTTTTCCACAAGCAGAAAAAGCTAGTGTATACCGTATCAAGTATGGTTTTTACAGGACTTTCTGCCTGAAGGCCTTTGTAAATAAGTAATGATCAACAGATTGGCTGTGGGTTTTTTGAAAAGCATGCCTATGTCAGTTTGCATGATGGGGGAGAATTTTCAAAGTGGGTCTAGCTTTCATTGCCTGTTGAAGAGGGGCTGAGGGAGGCGGGCGACCCAGGCTGGAGCTGTCTGCTCCGTGGTACATCAGAATTGCTAAACCTGGGCCAGGCGGTGCGCTGAGACTGGCCAAGCTACAGAACTTGCACTTCTGGTGTTGCCGCCTTTGAGCTGCTGCTGTGGCCACAGCTTCTGTCACCAGGATACTTTATCCCGCCCGCCACAAGGGTCTCTCGGCTGGAACAGGCTGTTTTGTGACAGGTCAGAAGGTCTCAGGCACTTCTCCATTACTTTCTGCGTCCCAGGTGTTCTCCATGCTTTGATGTATGTGGCAGCACAGACAGTGTGTTAAGCCCACTCTGTTCCCCTTCCCTTCCAGAGTGTGAATAGAGAACCATGGGCTTGTTGGGTTTGATTCTGGCACTGGCCCTGAGGTTCCCAGGGCCATTTTTTTTTTTCAAAATCCCTCCCGTTGATTGAAAGAAAGCAGAGGGGCTCATGCAGTACCTTGTGGTTTCTCCAGGTCCATCTGCCTCTTCAAACACTCCCTTTCTACTCTACAGAAGATACGACTCCCAGGTTCTATTCCTTATGACCTGAAACATCCATAAAGGAAGCTAATGACGTATTTGAAGTGGTTTTTCGACATGAGTTTGTGGCTTGCTGTTTGAACAGAATCAATCATTCTGAATGTGGGCAGGTTTAGTGGCCTATGGGGCAGTGATAGGAATAGCTCCAAGAGAAACAGGACAGCCCAGAATGGGCGAAGATGGGCTTTAATTTACCACTGTGGCTTCTGCAAATAAAACAGGCTCCTACAAGAGGGTTCCTTGCAAACTATCTGCCAGCACACAGTGCTGCTGGGACTCAGCGCTAATGGGTCTCTGTCTCCCTTTTGTTCTGGCATCAGGCTTACCCCGATTTTTAAGTGTCATTTAACTCTCTGTGCAATCATTAGGTGAACAGCCTTGTTTTGAGTGTCTGGATACCGACAGTATGTTTTTTAGTCACTCTGACAGAAAACAGCTCTTGCAGTCAGACTGAGCTAAATAGTGAATGTCTGTGCTCTAAGCCAGGGATTCCTGTGTCTTACTAGATGACCTTGAACTTCACAGCCCCTGGGGAGGAGTGGGCCATAGAGGTTCCCAGTGCCCTGTTATTTGCCTCCTTGTTGGTCTCTTCACGGAGAATGATTCAGGAGCCTCTCCCAGCTTCCTCCATACTTACCAAGCACCCAAGGCTCTGTTCTCCTTAGTTGGCGGTTTGTGCCTTGTAAGGATAGCTGTGTCTTCCCTCAGTTGTAAGGCCCTTCAAGGCAAGAACTTTGTCTGTAAATAACGAAATCAAGGGTTCTTAATTTGGGAGGTGGTTCTCACAGACCCTATTGAATATCCAATGAAAACTCTTTAGGAAGTCCCCATAGGGGGAAAAAAATACAGTTGACACCATTTTTACTAGATTCGTGGATTCCCTACATTGTGCCCAGGTTACAATCACATTCAGTTCTTTCCTCGGCCACTTTCCAGTTGTTTTATTCTCCAATGCATTTTGGCTGCTGAGACTGTCCCTCAGGTGGATAGGCGGTGCGGAGGCAATGTCTGGGCTCTCACACTGCGTCCTCTGGTGGAGCCCACCAGGTCTGTGCATTTCAGGGGTCTGCTTCTCTTCCTTTCTCAGATGAGTTTGCATCCAGCATATGTTTAGTGAAAGCCTCTGGCATGCACGTGTTGTAGAAGATCTCTGAGGGGTATAAGGTAACACAGATTAGAGGAGGTGTCTGTCTTCAAAACACTCACACTTTAATTAATGTAGGAGTCAGCAAAATAGAGTGGGAACAGTTAGGGTATCTACTAGCATGGGAACAGAGTGGGCTGACATCGCCTCTGGTTTGGAAGGCTGAACCCGTGTGAGAAGAAGGTTTCAGTGAACCTAGCCTTGTGTGATGAGAATTCTCTGTGCTAATATTACTCACCCTGTTCATTGCTTACTGAGTGTCAGGCGTCATTCCAAGAGTGTTGTGCCTGAATCCTAGGATCTCTCTGAATCCTAACTACAACTGCAGGAGTAGGAATTACTCTTTCCCCACTTTATAGATGAAGAAGCTGAGTCACAGCTGTAAAGTCTAGTAAATCCAGTAAGTCTTACCTAACTAGGAAAATCTGAACTCAGATGGCTTAGCTTCCAAGCCCATATTATTAACTCCTTCACTATTCGGCCCAATGTGGGAAATAGGGAATGTGCCCAGGCCATAGGAAGTGACTTGGTGTGGCTGAAGCACGGGGTCCTATCACCCACCCATGTCCCCTGGCCCCCACCCAGGCATCCTTTTCTGTCATAGGCATCAGGGGACCCTGGCAGGTTTTTTGGAGGCAGTGCCCTAACTGGTGTTTGGGAGGGCCACTGGTGGCACAATATGACAGGATTTAGAGACCTCCATTGGGGTCTCCAGAGACACATGTTACATAAGTACAGAGGTGTGAAGAGAGGGCCCAGCCCACCCAGGCCTCTGCCAAGGCACTCTGGGTGCCAACCAGCCAGGATCTGCTGTGCATAGTGTACCGGAAGGGGGCTACGCAGTCTTCCCAAGAAGGACACACAGCATTCTTGACATCAGTCCACGTTACACCCATTGTTCCAGCAGCTCAGGGAACCTGGAGTAAGGTTGAGAAGCATGGGCCGTGAGGATTTACACAGGATGTGGCAGGTAGACAATTTGCCAAAGACACAACCCCCAGCTGGGCTAGCAAGGATAATTGACGATACCAAAAACAGAAAAATTAAACACTGTGAGCAGAACTTCATGTCATGAAACTGAGAAAATATTTGACATTTGTTGTCTGAATGGGAGGAGACACATGATTTGAGGAAAACAGATTATCCTCTTGGGCATTTACTGATCATTAAGTGAAATAAATTCATCTGCTTGTTAAGTCCCCTTCTCTCTCCTATGACTCTCTCATGGGGTCTTTTTGTTAGGACTGTCAGCTTAAAAGGTCCT